AGCAAATTCACCCGGCCGTGCCACCAGCATGCAGAATCTGAGCTCTCATTGAAAAAAGAACTAATGGGTGGGATTCTCCCTCTTGGCCCAGCCCACTTGGACACTGTACAGGGGTCATGTGTGACAGAAACAACCCAGTAAGGTCCTAAATATTGGCTAACTACTTAGGCCAAAGAGGGAGCAGTCACTTATGGTGTGATTGCCTCAGTGCCCCTTGCAGGGGTTCTCCCATTCTGAGCCTTCATTCTCTTCCTGTGGCCCCTGCTTCCCCAAGCCCTTCTGCCCCAAACAGAGCTCCCCACAGCCCCAGTCCCTCAGCTGTCCCTTCTGCACCCCCAAGAACCCCCAATCCTTTCCCATCCCACCGCCCCATCCGTGACGTTATTGACATAATCTGGGACCGTATAGATCATTGCTGCAACCAAGGTCCTGTAGTGGTACCAAATCTTGTATAAAGGGGGTCAAATGAGGTGTCTAAGACAAGGTTATGATTTGCTGGTTATGATTATGCTATCTGTTTGCATGTATCATTTTTTTATTTAAAGATATAAGTATTGGCTCTATACTGTCTGTATTTCAAACTTATGCTATGCTTCTGGGTGACACCCCAGACAAGTTGGTGTCAGCTCTGCCTAGCCTGCTTGTTAGGACCATCAGCTTTACATTTGACCCATTGAGAGAAGGCAGACACGCCTTGTGACTCAGCAAGTTATGCAGGGACATGCCTATGGAGAGAACTCTGCGGTTTTTCCATGCCATGTGATGGACAGCTTGTCTTTGGAACAAAGAAAGAAAGACCACATGGCAAGAGAATATAAAAAGCTGCTGCAGCTCCTCCATCTTGTCTTCAATCCTGCTTCTTACCTCTGGAGGGACTTTGCTACACTGAAGTATTGAACGAAGGACTGATGACCCATCCCAGCTGTGGCTGTTCTCCAGAGACTTGATTTGAACCTGCAGTCTATTCTATCACTGCTGCAAGCCTGCCATCAAGAACTTTGCCATCACTGTATGTAATTGATTCCATTTAACCAGTTCTAGCTCTCATCTATATCTTTTTCCTTTTATGAATAAACCTTCTCTCCCACATCTCTCCCACAGCACCTGCAACAACCCCATACTCCTCCTACCACCCAATAGCCCCTTAGCTGCCCAGCCCCTCTGTACCCCCAGCTCTGCTGCTCCCCTAAGATCACCCAGAGCCATTCCTCTCCTATCTGGGGGGCTGGGCTCAAAACATCTGACTCTGCAGTAGTGATGGTACAGGAGTTTCTCCAAACAATCCATCCCAGCAAGGGCAGGGTTATTAATTAACTCTGCATTTACAGGGGGAGGATTCAATCTGAGGCAGAGCTGCAATGGCCTTGTTAAACCAGTGATAAGTGTATTGAACACACAGTTTGCACTGGGAAAAGCAGCTGATAGACCTGCTCTTATCTAAACAAGAGTGAGCCCTGGAAAGATGGGCTGGGATGACACAAGCTCTAAGATCAAAGTCTGAGTGTATTCAAGGGTCCCATCTTGCAGTCCTGATGCTTTCTACATTTTCACTGAGCTCAGTAGATGATGTGACTCACATGCAAGGACTGCAGGAGTAGGGCTTGATCCTCCACCCCCTGGAGTTAAAGGCAAAGATTCCATCGATTTCAGGGGTGCAGGATCCAGCCATTCATACCAGCAAAATTTCTGCATTTGAGCAGCATCTGCTGGTGTTTCCAAGGCCACAGGTCAGGGGTTTTCCCCCTCCTGCCAGCTTAGGAGTGAGTGGATGTTAAGTGAAGAATGTGAAGGGCCTTTAACTAGAAAGGTTTCATGAGTACCTGGATCCCGCATTGCTGGGCATTTCAGAAATACAGATGGACAGAGAATTCCCCTGACAGAAGCAGGAATAGAACAAAGATGGTGATCCAGGGGTTGAGGACATGGGCCGGGGGCTGCTTGGGACCCCCATGCTGCTAGCATATATGTTGTATTATATGTTGTATTAATTTGTATGGTGTAGGTGTAACCCTGAGGTTTTTTTCAGGAGTTAAAGTCCATTTACAGACTATGAAGAGCCAATAACTGTCCAATCCTGTCCACTGATGGCACCACCCTCCTGACTGAGCCCAATATGATACTAGAAAGATGGAAAGAACATTTTGTGACTCTCCTCAATCATGAGTCAAGTGCAAATGATCAAATAGTAGACTCCAATCCAGGAAGTTTTTGGAAAGCGTAGGGGACAATTTCCTGCCGCAAGTGCTAGAGGAGCCAACTAGGGGGGGGGCTTTTCTTGACCTGCTGCTCACAAACCGGGTAGAATTAGTGGGGGAAGCAAAAGTGGATGGGAATCTGGGAGGCAGTGACCATGAGTTGGTTGAGTTCAGGATCCTGACACAGGGAAGAAAGGTAAGCAGCACGATACGGACCCTGGACTTCAGGAAAGCAGACTTCGACTCCCTCAGGGAACGGATGGCCAGGATCCCCTGGGGGACTAACTTGAAGGGGAAAGGAGTCCAGGAGAGCTGGCTATATTTCAAGGAATCCCTGTTGAGGTTACAGGGACAAACCATCCCGATGAGTCGAAAGAATAGTAAATATGGCAGGCGACCAGCTTGGCTTAATGGTGAAATCTTAGCGGATCTTAAACATAAAAAAGAAGCTTACAAGAAGTGGAAGGTTGGACATATGACCAGGGAAGAGTATAAAAATATTGCTCGGGCATGTAGGAATGTTATCAGGAGGGCCAAATCGCACCTGGAGCTGCAGCTAGCCAGAGATGTCAAGAGTAACAAGAAGGGTTTCTTCAGGTATGTTGGCAACAAGAAGAAAGCCAAGGAATGTGTGGGCCCCTTACTGAATGAGGGAGGCAAACTAGTGACAGAGGATGTGGAAAAAGCTAATGTACTCAATGCTTTTTTTGCCTCTGTTTTCACTAACAAGGTCAGCTCCCAGACTGCTACGCTGGGCATCACAAAATGGGGAAGAGATGGCCAGCCCTCTGTGGAGATAGAGGTGGTTAGGGACTATTTAGAAAAGCTGGACGTGCACAAGTCCATGGGGCCGGACGAGTTGCATCCGAGAGTGCTGAAGGAACTGGCGGCTGTGATTGCAGAGCCATTGGCCATTATCTTTGAAAACTCGTGGCGAACCGGGGAAGTCCCGGATGACTGGAAAAAGGCTAATGTAGTGCCAATCTTTAAAAAAGGGAAGAAGGAGGATCCTGGGAACTACAGGCCAGTCAGCCTCACTTCAGTCCCTGGAAAAATCATGGAGCAGGTCCTCAAAGAATCAATCCTGAAGCACTTGCATGAGAGGAAAGTGATCAGGAACAGCCAGCATGGATTCACCAAGGGAAGGTCATGCCTGACTAATCTAATCGCCTTCTATGATGAGATTACTGGTTCTGTGGATGAAGGGAAAGCAGTGGATGTATTGTTTCTTGACTTTAGCAAAGCTTTTGACACGGTCTCCCACAGTATTCTTGTCAGCAAGTTAAGGAAGTATGGGCTGGATGAATGCACTACAAGGTGGGTAGGAAGCTGGCTAGATTGTCGGGCTCAACGGGTAGTGATCAATGGCTCCATGTCTAGTTGGCAGCCGGTATCAAGTGGAGTGCCCCAAGGGTCGGTCCTGGGGCCGGTTTTGTTCAATATCTTCATAAATGATCTGGAGGATGGTGTGGATTGCACTCTCAGCAAATTTGCGGATGATACTAAACTGGGAGGAGTGGTAGATACGCTGGAGGGGAGGGATAGGATACAGAAGGACCTAGACAAATTGGAGGATTGGGCCAAAAGAAATCTGATGAGGTTCAATAAGGATAAGTGCAGGGTCCTGCACTTAGGACGGAAGAACCCAATGCACAGCTACAGACTAGGGACCGAATGGCTAGGCAGCAGTTCTGCGGAAAAGGACCTAGGGGTGACAGTGGACGAGAAGCTGGATATGAGTCAGCAGTGTGCCCTTGTTGCCAAGAAGGCCAATGGCATTTTGGGATGTATAAGTAGGGGCATAGCGAGCAGATCGAGGGACGTGATCGTTCCCCTCTATTCGACATTAGTGAGGCCTCATCTGGAGTACTGTGTCCTGTTTTGGGCCCCACACTTCAAGAAGGATGTGGATAAATTGGAGAGAGTCCAGCGAAGGGCAACAAAAATGATTAGGGGTCTGGAACACATGAGTTATGAGGAGAGGCTGAGGGAGCTGGGATTGTTTAGCCTGCAGAAAAGAAGAATGAGGGGGGATTTGATAGCTGCTTTCAACTACCTGAAAGGGGGTTCCAAAGAGGATGGCTCTAGACTGTTCTCAATGGTATCAGATGACAGAACGAGGAGTAATGGTCTCAAGCTGCAGTGGGGGAGGTTTAGATTGGATATTAGGAAAAACTTTTTCACTAAGAGGGTGGTGAAACACTGGAATGCGTTACCTAGGGAGGTGGTAGAATCTCCTTCCTTAGACGTTTTTAAGGTCAGGCTTGACAAAGCCCTGGCTGGGATGATTTAACTGGGAATTGGTCCTGCTTCAAGCAGGGGGTTGGACTAGATGACCTTCTGGGGTCCCTTCCAACCCTTATATTCTATGATTCTATGATTCTATGAAATAGTAGACTCAATTGAACAAAGACAGTTTGATTTGAACTCAAACATCCGCCAACTTCAGAGGAGACTAAGAACGCACTTATGGAAATGACAAATGGAAAGGCAGCTGGAGCTCACAAAATCCCAGCTGAAGTGCGAAAACATGGTAGTCCTATACTTCACAAAGCTTTGCTAGACCCAGTTACTTTCTGCTGGGAAAATAAGGTTTTACCCCAGGATTTCAAAGTTACCAAAATCATAATAATCTGCAAGAGCAAAGGGGACAGACATAACTGCAGCAATTATTGTGGCATTTTGCTCTTCTCCATCACTGGTAGACTCCTTGGTAAGCTGTTGCTGAAAAGGTTTCAGGTTATTGCAGATGATGTACTCCCTAAATTCCAGTGTGGTTTCCATTCATCACACAGCATGGCCGACATGATATTTTCCCTATGCCAGTTACAGGAGCAAGCTGCTGAACAAGAAATGTCCTCGTATGTTGCCTTTGTTGACCTTAGTAAGGCATTCGACTATGACAAATGCTCCACTGTCTTCTTGCAAAGTTTAGCTGCCCAAACAAACTAATCAACCTTATTTGCTGCTTCCATGCCAACATGCAGGCCCATGTATCAGTGGGTGCCGACTCATCTGATCCCTTTCCTGTAGCCCATGAGGTTAAAAAAGGCTGTGTGCTTCCCTTACATTATTTACTTTCAGAGTAGCAGCCGTGTTAGTCTGTATTCGCAAAAAGAAAAGGAGGACTTGTGGCACCTTAGAGACTAACCAATTTATTTGAGCATAAGCTTTCGTGAGCTACAGCTCACTTCATCGGATGGATGAAGTTTGTTCCTGGCTGGAATGACATGTACAACCATTACAGATGTCACTCTAACAACATGATTCGATGGCAGATTTCTAAACCTCTGCCCATTCAAGGCCAAAAGCAAATCCCAGAAAAGTGAAGTAAAGGATCTACTGTATGCTGATGACTCAGCGTTTGTCACCCTTTCCGAGAACAACCTGCAGCATTTGCTGAATTCCTTTGCCCGTGTTGTATCCCTGTTCGGCCTCTGTATTAATGTAAAGAAAACAGAAATCCTGTACCAACCATCTCCTGGCAGAAACCCATCACTTCCACCACCACCAGAAATAAAATTGAACAGCTGCCAATTAAACAACATCAAGTCCTTCTGCTGCACAGGTAGCAGTTACCAATGACACTAACATTGACAAAGAACTTTCAGCACCCTTAAAGTCAGCTGTCTCAGCTTTTGGTTGTCTACAAAAAGGACTATGGACAAGACAGGGGGTGGGGGTCAAAGTGTCCCCAAAATGCCAACTTTACAGAGCTGTTGTGCTCCCTTGTCTTCTATACTCGTTAGAGACCTCCCCCCTTTATCGTTGCCACATCCAAAAACTTAACTGTCTGCAACAATGCTACCTACGCAGCATACTGGGAATCAAATGGTCTGACAAAATCGCCAACAACAAGGTACTACGGCAGGCAGCCATGCCAAGCCTGGAAGCCATGCTAGCACAGAGGCAAATGGCCTGGGTCGGCCATGTCATATGTATGGAAAACAATTGACTGCCTAAGAGAGTTCTGTGCAGTGGACTTGAAAAAGGCAGTAGGAAGGCTGGCCATCCCAGATGCTGTTACAAGGACTGCATCAAGCAGCACATACAGTCTGCTGGTCTGCACTTAATGACCTGGGAAGATACGGCCAAGGACAGGTGAGCTTGACACTCTGCTACGAAGGAAGCAGAACGAGCAACAGAATATCGTTGTGCCACCTTGGCCAACAGTAGGAGGGAATATAAACACCAAAGTGCCCTGGCACATCTCCTGAACCCTACATGTGGAAACTGATTTCCAGTCATAGTCGAATACAAGCAACAGATGGAATAAATGAGCACAAAGAGTCAAAGGTGTTAACATGACCCTGTCACTGTCTCACATTAAACAGTGTTAAACAAGGTTTGGGGGTTGGTTTTCAGAGACCTCAGCCAGCGTTGTCTCATGGCAAACACACCATTGAAAAATCCCTTTAACCTTTTATTAAAAATACAAAAAAGAAGATTAACAATTGAAATATTTGCAAAAGGAGAGGGATAGGACAGAATAAAAATAAGGTAGGGAAGGAGAGCTGAGAGGGGGGAGGAGTGACTGTCGAGGTCCCAAGTGGGGAGGAGGGGGGAAGGAAAGGAGGGACACCCGCACTGAGCTGGGAAGGGACGGGCAGGGCCACGGGCATAAGAAGCGGGATGGGGGGCTAGCCTCCTCGAGTGGAAGCTTCACCCTCCGCCCATGGTTAACTTTTCAGCCACAAGTCTTGCATGTGTTTGGAGAGTGGGGAATGGGAATGAAGAATATTTCAGGGCACTAGAATAAATTAACATGGCCACAGAGTCTAGTGGCTGCTGAAGCAGACTTTGGTCCAGTTCTTTACACAGGGTGGAGATAATTACAGTGACTCCTGGAGCACAAGGAAAAAAGTCTGCAGAACTGATTGTGTCACCAGTCAAAAGAGCTGGTTTGCTGGCACCACAGCTGTCTTCTCACTAGCACTGTGGGTGTGTCAGAGGAATTTGAACTTTGTGCCATAACCATGCTGTGAGAAGGATCCAGTTACAGTGACGTTCCAGGCGCTATTGTAGTTGCAGTTTTGAAGCTGATGGATGTTCGAAGAGAGGACGGTGCTTCCATTTAATATAAAATGTATTAACTTAATGAAAACCTGAGGAGCAGGCTGGAGTTAAACCCTGTGGCTCCCTGACCCCTCCAGCAGGATGGATGTTACAGCCTGGGAAAGGGAAGCAGTCACTGGAAGCAGGAGCTCTCTCTAGAGAGAATGGCTCTGGGTGCTAGCAAAGCATGGAACCCCCTGGAGAGATTGGAATGGCTCAGGAATAACTGCACAGGATTCTGCAGATAGGGGGTTCACTCATTGCAACTCCCACTAAATTGCTCCCCTGAATATTTCCTGGCTTATTATGCTGATTAGTCAGAGGAGCTGCTGCTATCAACAGGCCTCGCTCCTGGGATTTGTGGGATAAAGTGTCACTTCGCTACCAGGAAATCAGTTGTGATTGTAGAAATGCCCACACAGATTCAGAGACCTGTTCAGTCACTTCTCCACTGCCAGGTTCACATTTATTTGCTGTTCTGCTTTATTTACTGACAGATGTAGGAAACGATCACCATTTCTAATTTTCCCTTGGGGCGTTGTTGGGAGTGTGCAGGTATTTTTATCATCAACTCACTACTGTCATGCTCCAGAGTGAGAGGGTGAAAGATGGAAGGGAAACACCTGGGGCAAGATTGGGTGCAACTGATGGAGGGAGAGGGAGATTTTCTAAAGCTCCTAAGGGATTTAGGAGCACAAGCCCCATTGATCCTAACTCCCCTGTGTTTGTGAAAATCTCTCCCTCTGAGTGTAAATGGCACCTGTATGTGTCCATGAGGCCCCTTGTATACCAGATGGGCTCACTCCATCAGCATAACGTGGTGTGAGCCCCGAGTGAAGTCAGCCCTTGTTGGAAGCCCACTGCCCTTTAAAACAACATAGCCTCTTGCAGGTGCCAGGGGCTGTAGAGCCATAGGACCATGTTTCCAAAGGAGCTCAGCTCTGAACTGCTACATGTAGGCACCTGTGTGACATGGGCAGGTTTCCAGGGGCTCTGAGCAGCTCCTGTTGTTCTCAATGGGAGGGTAAGGAGAGCAGTCTCCATTGGTTTCAGCTGGAGCTGCTGTACGGAGCACTGTGACATTCTTCCCATTGTAAGCGATGACCAAATCCATCCCTGACATCGCCTTGACCCTGGGGACACTGAGGCTGGGCCACAGACACAGAAAGGGAGTCCCAGGCCAGGTGTGAGCTGTTGTGGGGGAAAACCATGAAGAACCCTCCCCTGGAATAAGCAGAACTGGGGCATGGGTCACTGTCCCCCACCAATACCTTGGTAGTTATTAGGGACAGGGCTGGAAGGGGAGGGGCTATGTCATGCCCACTCTGAGGTCTGGCCTGCACCGGCCTTTCCCCTTGAACATTTCCAAAGTTGCTGCCAGAGCAACACCTAAACAAATACTTTACCATCGTTTTTAATAAGGGTACTGAGGTGCTATGGGGTAGTGGCAGGGAATGGGAATTAGGACATGGAAATTACCACATCCAAGCTGGAAGCCAAACTCAAGCAGCTTAATGGGACTAAACTGGGGGCCCCGGATAATCTCCATCCAAGAATATTAAAGCAAGCCCAATAGCTAGGATTTTTAATGAATTTGTAAATTAGGGGATTGTATCCTATGGACTGGAGAATGATTAATATAGTTTCTATTTTTAAGAAAAGAGAAAAAGTGATCCAGGAAACTAGAGGCCTGTTAGTTTGACTTCAATTGTATGCAAGGTCTTGGACCAAATCTTGGAAGAAAAAGTAGTTCAGGACAAGAAGTAAACAGTAACTGGGATAAAATATAACATGGTTTTTAAAAAGGTATATTGTGCTAAACCAACTGGATCTCCTTTTTTGAGAAGATAATTGTTTCTTTAGACAAAGGAAAAGCATTAGATCTAATCTACCTGGATGTCAGTAAGGCATTTGATACAGTTCCACCTGGGAAATTATTAGTTAAATTAGAGAAGATGGGGATTAATATGAAAATTGAAAGGTGCATAATGAACTGCTAAAGGGGCAACTATAAAGAGTCATACTGAGGGCTTGTCTACACTAGAAATGCTACAGTGGTACAGCTGCACTGATGCAGCTGCGCTGCTGTAGTGCATCTGGTGAAGAAACTATGCCAGCAGAAGAGAGCTCTTCCGTTGTCATAATACCTCCACCTCTGCAAGAGGTGGTAGCTATGTCGGCAGGAGAAGCTTTCCCACTGACATAGCGCTGTCCACACCAGCGCTTAGGTTGGTGTAATTTCTGTCACTCAGGGGTGTGAATTATTCACACCCCTGAGTGATGTAAATTATACCAAAGTAAGCTCTAGTGTAGACCAAGCCTGAAAGGTGAATTGTCAGGCTGGAGGGAGGTTACTAGTGGAGTTCATGTATAAGATCTAATGCTTTTCCTTTGTCTATACGTGACATGTATAAAGCTGATACAATGGTCTGTGTATATCCCATGATACAATGGCTCTGTTCACAGGCTGGCAGTCCTGGTCATTCATTCACACTTACCTGACTTTGCCCCATCACTGCATTGCCTGTTCTGTTTCTATAAAGACATTAACCCCTGCACATCTGGCCATTAACAATAAAAGATGAGAGGAGATACCAAGTGAGCTGTAGCTCACGAAAGCTTATGCTCAAATAAATTGGTTAGTCTCTAAGGTGCCACAAGTACTCCTTTTCTTTTTGCAAATACAGACTAACACGGCTGCTACTCTGAAACCTGTCATAAAAATAAACCGGAACTTTCCCAGCTCTCTACAGATGCTGTAATGAGACTTTTGGCACATCTGGGTACTGTAGAATTAACACCTGTTTATTCCATTTTCCTCTAGGTGTGGGCTCTGATCCTGACATCCCTGTGGAAGGTCACCAGGATGGAGGGATCCGGGTTGTGTGTCGATCATTTGGGTGGTACCCAGAGCCTGAGGCTCAATGGAGAGATCTCCAGGGGCAGGTCTTACCATCAGCCTCTCACAACATATTGCAAGAGGCCACTGGTCTGTTTCAAACAGAGATTGCTATTGTTATAACAGAAGAATCCAACCAGAAAGTGTCCTGCTCTGTCAGGAACCCCTGCCTGAACCAGGAGAGAGTGTCAACCATTTCCATAGCAGGTCAGTGCCCATCCACGCTGTATGTGGAATAGACTGAGCTTCTGCAGTTGTTAGTGTGGAACAATTCTTATTGGGTCTCCTATTTACTGGCCTGAATCTTCAGCATTATGAGCAATTCAGCTACATTCACAAAAACACTTAGGTGTGCTGATGCTCAGCACCACAAACGCTAATTATATAGTAACCAGCGGTGAAAGTAACTTAAGGGACTTACCGAGATGCAGGGAGGCCGGGGTCCTGAGCAAGGTTGGTGGGGGGAGGTGGCTCTGGGCCCCCGGAAGGGGTGGGCCTTGGGCAAAAGGGGCGGGACTGGGGCCAGACTCCCACAGCCAGCCTTTCAGCGCTGCCCAGCCCACGCCACCTGGAGCTCCAGCAGCAATTTAAAGGGTCCAGGGCTCCCGTCTGCTACCTTTTGCCACCACCCCCCCTCCGCCCATTAGCATCCCTGCCGGTATGGTTGGCTGTGTATCGGCTCTTACTGGTATGCCGTACCATACTGGCTTACTTTCACCTCTGGGTGTAACCTGGAGTCAGTGAAGTTACTCCAGATTTACACTGGTGTAACGGATCTTAAGGAGAGTCAGTATTTGATACTTTGAGGTACCTAGAAAATCACTGGGAACAACAAAGCCTGAGTTAGGTGCCCAGGCTCCCTGTACAACAGGGGCTAGACTGCAATTCACAGAAACCAGCCTGCTAAGTGCCACCTCCTCTTAGCTAGCCAATGGGAGATGACAAGGAGAGGGGTGTGTGTTAAGTCCCCTTTGTCTCAGAGATAGGTGCCTAAACTGGAGTATTGTGTCCAGTTCTGGGTGTCACATTTCAGGAAAGATGTGGACAAATTGGAGAATGTCCCGAAAGAGCAACAAAAATGATTAAAGGTCTAGAAAACATGACCTCTGAGGGAAGACTGAAAAAATTGGGTTTGTTTATTCTGGAGAAGAGAAGACTGAGTGGGGACATGATAACAGTTTTCATGTACATAAAAGGTTGTTACAAGGAGGAGGGAGAAAAATTGTTCTCCTTAACTTCTGTGGATAGGACAAGAAGCAATGGGCTTAAATTGCAGCAAGGGCGGTTTAGGTTGGACATTAGGAAAATCTTCCCAACTGTCAGAGTGGTTAAGCACTGGAATAAATTTCCTAGGGTTGGTGGTGGAATCTCCATCACTGGGGATTTTTAAGAGCAGGTTGGACAAACACCTGTGAGGGATGGTCTAGATAATACTTAGTCCTACCTTGAGTGCAGGGGACTAGACTAGATGACATCTCGAGGTCCCTTCCAGTCCTATGATTCTCTAATGGAGCTGCGCCAAGCCCCATCCCTGATATTCCCCTTTTCAGTAATTAACCATGTTCAGTAACCAGATTATTGCTTGGACTTTCAATGGCTTAATAATAAAGCACAGAGGAGCCACATCTCACCATGTATTTCCCTGTGAGATTCTTTTAACTGGTCACAGTGTCACCATTGTTGCAATGTCCTTCTTTTGACACATGTTTGTTCCTAAGTCAATGACACTTTCTCTTGCAGATCTCTTTTTCACATTTCACATCTGGGTGGTGGCTCTGGGTGTGATCCTGGGTGTTATCTTCTGTGTTCTCATTGCCCTGGCCAGTTACTGCTCCTGGAGTCAATGCAGAGCAAAAGGTAAAGTAACAAGAAGGGTGTCAGGGTTCCCTTCCCACTCTGAACTCTGGGGTACAGATGTGAGGACCCCCATGAAAGATCCCCTAAGTTTATATTCTACCACCTTAGGTTAAAACTTCCCCAAGGTACAATTCCTTTCCTTGTCCTTGGGTAGTATTGCTGCCACCACCAAGTGATTTACACAAAAATTTGGGAAAAGGGTCACTTGGAGTCCCTATCCCCCCAAAATATTCCCCCAAGCCCCTTCACCCCCTTTCCTGGGGAGGCTTGAGAATAATGTGAGTACCGACCAGACTCTTTGTCTCTAGGACACTGAAAATCAATCAGGTTCTTAAAGAAAGAACTTTATTTAAAGAAAAAGTAAAAGAATCATACCTGCAAAATCAGGATGGAAGGTAACTTTACAGGGTAAAAACACAGAGGATTCCCCTCTAGGCTCAGCTTCAAAGTTACAAAAAACAGGAATAAAACTCCCTCTTAGCATAGGGGAAATTAAGAAGCTAAAACAAAAGATAATCTAATGCATTTCCTTGCCCTTACTTACAATGTTTGTAATCTTAGATGAATCATTTCAGGTATGTTTTCAGGAGATGTTTTACTTTCCTGGCCTCTCTCTCCATCCAGAGAGAGAACAAACAAAGAGAAACAAACACTTCCCCCCGACCCCCAGATTTGAAAGTATCTTCTTTTCTTATTGATCCTTCTGGTCAGGTGCCAACTAGGTTATTTGAGTTTCTTAACCCCTTACAGGTAAAGTGTTCTCTGTTCATCTGGCCAGGAGGGATTTTATGCTATTGCATACATAAAGGTTGTTACCCTTCCCTATATATTTATGACAAAGGGAGAATGCAATTTGACCAGTCAGAGATTTAAAAACAAAAATGGAGATGCCAGGATTGAGGTGCTTTGATTAAATGTTTGGAAGAGTTTGGGGCAATGGAGATAGGTTGAGGGCGAAGGGTGCTCTGAATACATTATGATTTCACGTCTGAACTCACAAGTGTCAAGTGGGTTCATCTTGTCAGATCTCACTAACAGGTCCCAATGGAATGTGATTCTGAAATATTCCATGGGGATCAGCATTGCTCAGTTTGAAACACCCATGTGAGGCTTAGTAAGCTATGCTTGCAGCTGTGACATATCTAACTTGTTTGCTTGCAGACAAAACAATGCAAAGTAGGAGAGAAGGAAGTTTCTTAGGGCCCAATTCTGTGCACATGCACATCCCTTCTGTTGAAAAATTGTATAGTCAATCGTTTAACCACACTCTGTTTCATTATGAAATATATTCAAGAGACCAAATAACCAGTATCAGTCAGGTTTATTGCTAAAGCTCAATAATAGTATAGTAGAGGAAGAAAGGTTCATTACGATACCTGTGTCCAGGAAGCCGTCTTGTGCAGCCTTGTTAAATTCACCTTACACAGAAGGTGTGCACTCAAAGTTACTCTCCCAAAGTTATCCTTTTTATATCCTGCCTGTTCCTAAGTAAAAGGTACTGTATGTGTCCTCTGAAACTAGATTTATTCAATCAGTTTTTCTGTACCAAAGTGTACTCCGTATCTTTTTGTTCTCAGCATGTGCATTCCAGGTACCAAGGGGCGTGAAGGCACCTCCTAGGTTTGTACTAGGGTAGAACAATCATATGTCTTGTCCTTTTCCCTTGGGACCTTCCAGTGGTGGCCTTTGAGTGTGTGGAACAGTTACATTAGCCATGGGTTTGCTGTTATAAACACAACAGCATGAAATATCACCTCTTGCCTTTTTCTCCCTCTAGAGACTCTGCAATCTGCGATGGAGAGGCAGAAATGTCAGTGTCTGGGACCAATGGGATGGGTTGAAGATTTCATGTCATGATAGTCGAGTTAGCTCAGTGAAGCCAACTTAACTCGATTGAAAGACACATTTGATGCAGAGTAGTCACAGTTTACCACCTTTAGCTCAGTTTTAGCTGATGGAGTTACAGCCTTTTTTAATGAGTGATGGGGAACGTCTCCATATTGGCACCAGGGCCCAAGCTGTGAGCTCAGGGGCTGCTCATGCTCACACAAATGGGCTCTGAAGGTGAATAATAAAGCCCATGGGAATTATAGAAATGGTTCTCTGAATCCAGGGCCCTGAATAACACTTGCCATCCTGGGCCGGTGTCATTGCTGGAGACTGGGTACGTCTATACTGCAAAAAACCCACCCACGGCAGCAAATCTCAGAGCCTGGGGCTTGCACTGCATGGCTAAATATTAATATTGTAGACATTCCGGCTTGGGCTGGAACCCAGGCTCTGAGGCCCTCCCCCTCACTGGGTTTCGGAACACAGGTGCTAGCCCAAGCAGGAATGTCTGTACTGCTATTTTTAGCCCTGTAGCATGGGCTCCCCAAGCCTGAGTCAGTTGGCCTAGTCTCTGGGCCCCACTGTTGTGTTTTGTTTTGGGGTTTTTTTTGCAATGTAGATGAACCCTGAGAGACTTGTCCAATATTTAACAGGATCCCTCACTCAGGATCCCCCTGTGTTGTGGCTCTTCCATACACATGTAATGAGGGAGAGGGCAGGATTTCACCTGCAGTGAGCATGTACACCCACAACCTCAGCTCTACTCTACAGCGACTCTATGCATTAACCATACAGGTCTGATCAGTGCAGAACAGTGTCTGTGGTTCTACATTAAATGAAACTGATTTTATAGGAACACAATGTTTTAAGGGTTTTTTTTCCAATTTCCCCCCTCATGATGTTACTACAGGGCAGAGTTAAGGTTGTTTAGGTGCCTTAGCTGCATTTCGAGACCATGGAATGTTTGGATTTCTTTTAAATATAACCATAATTCTGTATTGTCTGGGTATATAACATTTGGTTTGGGGATAATTACAAGATTCCTGTAATGACTTTTACCCTTAAGTTACAAGTACATGTCCTCTCAGTTTTAACTCCATATTAAGGGGAATTGCATTGTGCATTATGGCACAGATCTGCAAAGAGACTTAGGCACCTAAACCCAGAGACAGGCATCTCAATCCTAGTTTTAGGCACCGTGATCCACAAGACCCCTCTTGGCTGATGCATAACTGTGTGGGTGCCTAAACTCACTCGGGACAGAAATCTCTGCTGTAAAAATTCTCTCAGTGTCTAAGTTTCTGCCTCTGGGCATATACATGGCTGCCTTGCTCTAGACGTTTAGGCACCTATCTCCCACCTGAGCCCCAAAGTGACCCACAAACTGGAGGAAAGAGCATCTGTCTCACCTATGAAGACTGATCCTGTAGACATGCTCAGAGGTCACCCAATGACACAAAGAACAGAGGTGGGAGACTGGGAGGAGGCAAAACTCTCTTATAACCTTTAGCCTAGGGGTTAGGGTACCCACCCGAAATGTGGGAGACTCTGGTTGAAGTCCCCTCTCTCTGCTGATGAGGAGAAAGGATTTGAACAGGGGTCTCCCAACTCTCAGGACAGTGCTCTAACTACTGGGCTATGGGATATTCTGGTATGAGGCTCACTCTGTCTGTTTTGTTTAAGGTGTTAAACTTTAATCAAATATTAATTGAGAATCACTCTATAACCACCTCACCCCGCTCCCCAGCACAACAGACATAATTTCCCCTGAGCCGGGATCTTCTGCATGGGCCTAGCCCCTCCCTGCAAGATTGCACCCCACCAGCTGTCTGCCTGAGAATCATACAGGAACTGGGCTCTTTTCCCTGCCTCAGGGTCTCCTCCTGGAGTCTTCCTGCTCCCTGAAGCTCTCCCTTAGCTGAAGAACTTGCTGGCCAGGCTTTTATTAGGACCAGGAGATCTTCAAGCCATCACTTGATCCCTGGCCTCAGCATCAGCTGATTAATCTCAGGGTGGAACTGGGCCCCAACTCTCCTTAAAAGACCAGCCACCTTGTGACACTTAGTCTCTCCCATCCTAAAACTTTCCATCCCTGATCCTAATTGCCTCTCTACCTACTGTCCCTTCTCCCTTCTCCCGCTAAGCTCAATGAACGCTCTGTCTACAATCACAGTCTGGAGTTTCTCTCCTCCTGTTCCATCCTAGACAGGGGTGCTGGAATAGGGGGCACCAAGGGGCCATGGAGCTCCACTTTTTACCTGACATAAGAACAAGTAATGGGGTGAGGGGGCACAAAGGAGCAAGTGGGGAGCGGGGTCTTGGGAGGAAGAGGCAGCGCAGGGGCTCAGGAAGAAGGGGCGGTGCGAAGGCGGGGCCATGGGAGAATGGGCGCTGTGAGGGAGGGGCCTTGGGGGAATGAGAGCTGTGAGGGGGAGGGTCCATGGTTGGGGTGATGGTGGGCCCCGCACTTTTAGGAATCTTCTGCCGCTCCTGTCCTAGACCTAGACCCTCTCCAATTGGGCTTCTTCCCCATTCACTCCCCTGAAACCACTCTCACCAAAATCTCTAATGACCTCTGTGATGTTCCCAGCTCAGCCTCTTCTATGGCCTCCCAGACACACCCACTGTCTCCCTTCAGTCCACACAAACTCCATATAACAAAGAGATACCTGCCCCAGGGAGCTCACCCTCTGCATGACAGACAGGCTATAACAGAGGGATGAAAAACACAAGGGAGGTGAGGGGTTGGGAGGGCAAGCAGCGAGGTAATGATAAAAAGAAACCAAAGTCCAGCTCATCACTTGCCCAGCCAGTTCCAGACAAGAGAGATTACTGGGGCCACAGCATATATGTGTTTGGAGGAGGGATTTAAGAGAGAATAAGGGAGCAGCTTTACAAATATTGATGGGGCATTTTCTCCATGCACGGAAGGGGAGAAAACACTGAGGTGCTTGAGGGAGAAGCAGACAGGTGGGTGACCCAGCCTGCCAGGAGCAGCCCTTACCATTTTGCCCAAGAGGGCAAAAAATGTTTTCTATGCAATGGGAAGACAGTGTTGACAGCTCAGTAAAGCTGGTGGATTTGACAGACAAGGAAGGGCTGAATGGTGAAGGGACTAATGGCAAAGACTATTAGCTTGTGCTGGTGTGGTGCTGGGTGGGGCAGAGGGTCTTAGTGAAGGGACAATAAGACAGTGGGGGATGTGGTAGCAGAAACAACCCGGAAGGGAAGATGGGGCAGTAGTTGGAGAGGTGTGGGGAAGAGAAGCAGGTTTGTGAGTAAAATTATACCTGGGCTTTTGCATGGTCAGGACCCTAGATTGTAAACTCTTTGGAGCAGGGTCTGTGTCTTTTTATAGTCTGGAGTGTGTGTGTGTACAGAACCAAGTGCAGTGGGGGCCCAGCCCTGAGTGTATGTGTACAGGACCTAGTATGGTGGGCCCCAGCCCTGAGCATGTGTGTACAGGACCTAGTGCAGTGGGGCCCAGCCCTGAGTGCGACCTCTAGATGCTACTGGAATGTAAATAATAATGTGCAGTGGGAGCAGCAGACCAGCATGGGATGTGGAGATATGGCCTGGTGTGGCGGTTCAGTGATGAGACAGAACACAGCTTTTTGCAAGCAAGCAGGCTGGTCAGCTGAGATGGGCCGTTCTCTGCCCCCCCGCCTTCCACCATCATCTAAGAGAAGTGTTAACTGAGGCTTCGAGGGGCGGACTGACATTGTCAGAGCAACAAGTGGAGAAGACGCGCTGTGAGACGGCGAGTGAGACAACGTCGATCCAAAGCCGCCTCCGCCCCGAGTTCGATCCTCGGCAGCTGGCACCTGATAGGGGACTAAAATCAATTGTGCAATTGACCGTCCACGCGGGAGCGACTGTGGAAGATGAGTCCACACCTGAACCTTAATAATGCCAGTGTAATCAGCATCAATGACCCCTGGAATGACAAAAAAGCCCTGTTTCCCAGCATGTGAGCGAGGGAGAACAAGACCTACAAAGCCGGCAGGGAGAGGTCCCGTCACCTGTGTAGGTATGGCACAGACCTCCCCTGGCAGCCGAAAGTCAGTGTCCTACTGCATGATCAACTCAAGCCCTGCACTTCCAGCAGTCGCCGCCCTCATAGAGTCTACGGATTCCAAGGCAGAGGAGCGATTGCCTGAGTAGGAAACACCCCCGTTTGGCCCTGGGTTCGGGGGGGACCCGTCGCGCGGTTTCCCGACCCGCTACGACACTGATTAGCCCAGTGATAACCTTTCCCACACTTGGGGCACTTCTTTGAGGGTCGGGCTGGTGCCTTAGATGAGCGGCACTCCCGCTGAAAATGACCCTCCTTACCACAGCGGTAACAACGCTTCCCCTCCTTCCCAGTTTTTCTCAGGGCGGCAGCCAGAACTCCAGCCTTGTGGGCTTGTGTGCCGATGTTCTGGCACGCCCGCAGCATGTCTGAGAGCTCTAAAATACCAGAGGCTTGTGCTGCCTGGAGAGCACGGCAGCAATCCTCGTTTGCATTTTCAACTGCCAATTTTAACAGGAGCTCGTGAGCTGCCTCAGTGTTATCCACCTGCCGGAGGATAGCCTCATGCAATCTGTTGGTAAAATCCAAAAAGGACTCTGAGGCACCCTGACGGATACTGACAAAGCTTTTGGTAGGCTTGCCTGAATCCGGGACCTTCTTGAAAGCATGCTGGGCACAGGTGGAAATAATGGGGAAGACAGCCTGAGGGAGTTGAGACTGCATCTGAATAGTAGCAAACGGGCCCTCCCCTGCCAATTGCTCATAAATGATACCGTGCGCTGCATGTACCTGAGCTTGGCGTTCTGCCATCTGCCGATACTCACTAAGCCAAATAACATACTGACTAGGTGATAACATCATGCGCAGCAGCGTTTTCCAATCCTCAGGGATTAGGGAGTACCCAGTACCTATCCCTTCAACGAGACCACGCACAAAGGTGCTAGTCAGGCCAAACTCACGAATTGCTTTCCTCACCTCTCTAACCACCGAGTATGACAAAGTGGTCCAGGTG